CCACCCCAAGGGAATCCTGTAGGGTTGCCACCACCAAGTAATCAGGAAAGTTTCAGGAAAAAATGAGTACATGAACTTACTTGATTCATCTTTGTCATTACCACTAGTTTCAGGTGTGGTTTAGTTTTCCAAAGGCTGAGTGTTGCTTCTGACTCTCTACTTGGTAAATTCAGGTCACCACACTGACCAATATCTTGTGGGCTTTGCTCTCTTTCAGAAAAAAGCGATTTTATATGAAAAAAATCTTACTGATTTTTCTGCAGGTCAGTGTGTTTTAGGAATACCGCTCAGCAATTTGGCCATCTTTTCCGCTAATGATATTGTAACGCTTTCCAGTTCTGTTCCATTATGTAAATAAGTGTCTCCAACATATCTGAATAAATTGTGCTAGTTTAACCCCACTAAATTAATTTCTATCACCTTCTGGCTATTATTTTTCTTTCTCTATGTGTTTGTTGATTTGTAACGAGGAATTTGGGTTATTGAGTTTTGACTGGACCCATTCACCTACGTGTTCTGCAAGCCGTCATAAAACTGACAACTATTGTATGGGCAAGCGGCGTCATTCCTTTGCCATGACGGATTCCCACTCCGACCGCTGGCAGCGGGTGAGCAGCCAAGGGACGCAGGGTGTTTGGGCAGCGAAGGAATTGCACAATTTTCTGCATCGCCCCAAGGCTCCCTGTGGATTCTCAACTGGAAAGTAAAGGGAAGATGCTTAAGAAGATGAGTTTTAACTAGCAAGAAAAATGCCACTTTCTGGGAGCTCCCTCTCTGAAGTTTCCACCAGCACAGGTTTAACCACTTTCCTCTGTTCTGACAATGTTTTTGTCTGTGCAATACCACTGGCACTGCTGGCACAGCAAAGGCTTGAGTTGTTTCTCACAACGGCGGGCTCAAAACCTGGCCTGCTGAAGACCTTTGGCCAGGCTGACGCTGTGTCTCTTTGTAAGGCTGTGCATTAGCTTTTGTCTTGAGAGAGAGAACAAGTTTCCTTCAAAAGAACACATCATTTTTCCTAATGTTTATCTGATGGCTCCCTCTAGAGCGAGGAACATAAATAGTGACCTGCTTCACAAAATGAAGTTCTTGGATTCAGTCACTTTTAGTCCCAGAAGTGGTTTTGTTACACTTGCTCCCCATCAGCCTCCTCGCCTTTTCAGTGCCTTCCTTCTCTCAGTGTCTAGCTCAGTGCTGTTAGGAGGACTGCAGGGATACAGAGGTTTCAAGTCATCTTATTTTGCATTTGAAAATTATCATCTCCTGTGATCAGTCGCTGCATCTGCCCAAATGCACCCAGAACTACCTCGCCCAACAAAAGAGGAGATGTAAGCCTGATTGATAGACAAACAGGGAAATACTCTGCGCTGAGCCCGGAGAGACCTGAAACTTCCCACTGCCGGTCGGAGTGATAACAGTTTGTTTAAAAAGAGAGGGGGTGGATGCTGACCTGCACTAATTTTAGATAAGTGGGATCTGGTGTCATGAGAAGGGGTGATTTTTTTGCAGGGCATGTGAGAGCACAACACACACGGGATGGAAGAAGGGCACGGGCAAAAGGAACTTGGGGATTAAAGTGGTTTATAGCTGCCCTTCTCCACTGGAGTCAAGGACCACCCAGTTGTTCTCTGAAAGAATAACTCCAGGTTCATGCTCTACTCGCCAAGTTAACCACTTGTAATGAAAACTAGTACTGCTCCTACTGCTGTAACTTTTAAAAACTGCTCTGTCATTCCAAAAATACAATTAGTGATTGAATTGACAATTGAAATGTCTGGCCCACCAAACAAATTGTTTACATCATTGAGTTTTTCAGCACTGCCTTAAGTCTGCGTTGAAGTCTAGAGCACAACTCCCCTCGCCGAGCGCAGGCAGGGCACATTCGACATCCCACCCGAGGCTTGCATAACGGGAAGGGCTGTCCCCGCTTCCAGCCTATTCCCAGCGAGTGGAACAGCGTAAGCTTGGAGAGTTAGGGCAGCCCAGGAGCCAGCAGGTGTGTTGGTGCAAATGCATACGGTTGGTATTTGCAGTTTTCTCCAAAATAGCAAGGTATACATGGGAGTGCCCTGCTATTTAAAGGCAGATGACAAACAATTGTTTATTACCTTTAACCACAAGTTGTTTTATTTTGGTTTTTGGTGGTGGTGGGGGGGTTTTTTTTTACAAAGAATAAACATGGCCCAGAAATGAAACTTAGGAGAAGAAGAAATTGTCTTGTATCTGTCTGTTACATTGACCTCCGAAAGCTTTCACCCAAGACAGAGAAACATTTCAGTGGCCCCTGCATCGCTGTGGTCAGTCCTGCTGCACCATTGATGGGCCGTGCCCTTCCATCAGGACATGGGGAAAAAGCCGTGAGAGCAAAAGCCTTCTGACTAGGTGACTTCACAAAATGAAAGAAAACGTGAAAGCCTTCAGACTGTGACTAATTAAACAGCTGAGGTCAGAGTCCTGTAAGCCTGAAAGCTGACAGAAGTGCTGGGCTGAGTGTGGGAAGGGAAGGGCAGGAAGAACAGCTCCGGTGCTTGTTGGTCAGCTCCTATAAACCAGGTGTGCACTGATGTCCTCAGCGGGCACTGCTTAGCAAGAATTTGCGCCACTTTCTATTTCTGATCATCTCTCACTGGATGTTGTTTTCTTCTTGCCCTTAAAATTTTATAGGTGGCACTAAATAAATGTATTTGCTTACATGCAGGTACAAGTTGTTCAGAATTGCATTAGCACAAAGCATCTCACTCGCTTTACAGCATGCCGCATTGGCTTTTGTGGAAAAGGGCTGAAATAAAGCGTCACCAGGACCATAATACCAAAATGTGGGAGACTCGATTTTGCTTCTACTTGCTGGCCTGTGTTTTAATTCTTCTTAAATCACAAGTGCTCTTAAACAATAGTGACTGGCTCTTTTACACTGTGGTCAGACTTTGATTAAAGCAGTTTTCATACCTTTGGCTTCATTTTTAAGCTGTGACTAAAAAGAAAAATATAGGCTATCCAAATACATCAGTACAGAATGTGGACTAAAATATTTGACTTTTTTTATATATATAGTGCACTTTTGGTTACTTTTATGAACTATTTAAATTTCAGTCATTAAACTTTTCTTCTGTGTTGCAGAGCTGAGAAGCAACGTGACGTAAATACTCAAGTATGCAAATGTTTTTATTAGCCTTGCAGCTCCTGGATTGAGAAATGTAATAGTAATTACATAGTACGTGCTTCCAGCCCTGCTCTTGTTTTCAGAAACTGTATTGAACAGTTTGAACCATATAAAATGTTAATACTGGACTTTTCGGAAATAAACATCTGTACAAGCCTTGCTGTTGTTTTCTTTCACTATAGCGTGAAAAGGAGTGAAGTTTCTAAAATGACGCAATAGTTTGAATGCTGCTCCAGGCTCTTCAGGAAGCGCTGTGACAGCCTGACTTGCCTCAGCACTGCTTATCACAGGAAAACTTCTTTCTGACAGTAAAGCCTTTATTTCCAAGGAGGCTGACAATAGGCTGAGAAGTTTTTTTCTAAACTGATACTTTGACGGATGTCTTTGAATAATGAGTAAATGAGGTTATCTTTTGGGAAACTAAATTACATAAAGCAGCCATAACGCATTCTCCTCTGCCCATCAGCGTGGCCTTTAGCTACCAGGCACTGCAGAGAGCTCAAGAACAACCACGCTATATTTGCGTCTGGGACTTTTGTCCTACCACACTGGTCCGCAGCCACGTGTAAAGCAGTAGCGCAACTTGCTTGGGTTCTGTATGCAGTTTGCTATCAAACACACTCGGTTCAGGAGAAAATGTATTACCATGATTGTTATTAATAGTCTTAGCTTTGCAGTAAATTTAAAATACGTAAGACAAAATTAATCCCACCTGAATGTCTTTGTCTGAGCTGGCTGTCTTCACCATAAGTGGAAAGATGTAGGAATGTCGGTGTTGTTTCTCAAACTAGACCCAGTAAATCACTGTGAAAGAGCCTGTTTTCTCTCTAGTGATTTACAGTGAGAAGCCCGGCGAGGAAGTCAAATGTCCACAGGTCAGGTAAGACAAATCCCATCCTCTGTGTCTGGAAATAAACAGTTCCAGGCAAAATACCACCCTCTTAGCCGGAGGTGGGCTTCTCCTCTAAAACCTGTGCCCTGCAGTGTTCCTTTCCCTCTCTTAATCCATTCATAATGATAAAGCAATTCCCTTTGATCTTTCACAGAAGTGGCAAGCACATACGGCTTAGCATGTTATTTCCTTTCATGCCTAGAGTCATGCAGCCGTTTCTCTGCTGGATCCAGCCATGTCTGGGTGTGGTATTTGTCGAAACCTCCTACTTCATGGTAGTTTGACATAAACGGGGTAATATTCAGCCCTAGCTCCACAAAGTAATGTGGAAGGCATTTGGCAGCGTTCCTAAATTCTTGCTGTTTAAACATGAGGAAGCAGATCACTTCTGCATACCAGCATTGATTTATAGAAACTGAAGGCCGTGAGGAATCCTTCCATTTAAGCTAAGCAGGCGATGCAAGAGAGAGTTTCTGCGTTCCCAGTTATAGGTTTGAGCCCAGTCACCCTCACACAGTGAAGGAAGCCAGCCTGTCAAATACAGTGCTTAAACGTTGTTTAAAACATTTACTACTCCTTTCCTGAAGTCCCTCACGACGGCCACTGAAGGTACACTCCTCTGTATTTCTCTGTGCTGAATGTTTTAAATGATTTTGGGTAACTTCACAAAGCCTCGGGTTTTATTCTAATGCCTCCCAGTTTTTGTTCCAATTCAAAGAACACAACCTTACTGTGTCTTGAGACAGCAGGTGCATATCACAATGGGAGAGACTCTCAGCAGCAGAGAAAACATGTGGCAAGTGCCACTCTCCTCCATGATGAGAACACCTGAACCCAGTTTATTTTTAACAGGCCTATGGCATCCTACTTCCCCTCAACAACAGGTGCACTACAGTACTGTTACTGTGTAATTAGAAGCTTTGTGGTTACGCTGTGTCAGCAGTGACACTAAGTTCCTGGAGAAGTGGATTTAAACTTCTGGGAGAACTCTTCCAGCATCTCCATTAGCTTCTCCTCATCCTCTGGCGGACTGTGAGTGCTTGCCAGGGGTAAGTGCGTAGGGACTGGTTGCCTGTCTGGAAGACAGAAAAACAAAACAAAACACAAACTTATGGGTACATTTAACTACCCATTCTAGCACAAAGGAGATTTTTCTGCTAGGCTCCTTACTGCCCAAACATACCTCACGGTCTTGAAGGCAGGAAACTTACCTTCTAGGTATCTGTAAACAAAGTTAGTTAAGCATATCTTCCAAAACAGAAATTAAATTAATTTCATTTGTATTCTGGAACTAGAGTGACTGTCCCTTAGCACGATATGACTTAGACTGGGGAGCAAGACCTCATTTGCAGCTAGGAAGAGTATAGATAAAGGAAGGCCTTATTGTGGGGTTACGCCTGCTCCCTGTCACCAGTGCAACTCCTGTAGACAAAGACCAATAACTTGAGCTTGTTGTTGCAGGCACAGGTTGCTTTTGCAGCATGAGACAGGGTTTTTTCCTTGCCTCCTGAATAATTTTTCTAGTGCTACACAAATTCCCCAGCTGGGACTTTGGATTATTTTCAAATCTTAAAATGCTTACTTTCATCCTTAAAAATAATGGTTAAATTATAAATGCTAAAGAACTTAAGCTAATTGCTCAATCTCTGTAAGTAACATGGATCCAACATAAAGATGTCTGACCTAATTTGCTCAATTTGATGCTTTGCGTTGTTTTCCAAATCTTGTACTCCTCACTCACTCTGTGTAAATATAGCTACATCACCATCCATTCTAAGGGGTTTTTCTCTCCAAAAACATGGTATCCAGAGCTTGGGAACTTTATGATGATGCTCTCTCAGATGTCTATGAAACAACGGTCAGAGCACTGGTGCAGCACTGTTAGTCTATTTAATAAGTCCAAGTTCTGCAGCAGTCAGCCAAGACTAAAAGAACAAGCTGTTGCAACACTGGGCAGCAGATTTCTCTGAAAACCTATCAGGCTGCCACCAGGCTTCCCAGGAGAGCAGAGGTGTTTGCTCTCTTAAGAGCAAATGTTGTAACTGGCTGCACACACCGCATAACCTCTGCTCATGGAAAACTGAGGAGAGAGAAACGTGCGGAGGAACGTCCCCTTCTCCATCACTGAATATGAACTGCTTCCTACTTAATCGTACTGCTTCCAGGAGGCTGTGCTAAAGTTCAGGAATGATGTGTGAAAGCCAAGTTCAGCATCATGGAGAAGATGCTTCTAGTCTTTGGAAAGCAAGACTCTGTCAAACATTTTTTATTTATTTTGGCAGATTCAGAGAATTCTGGTTGTATGAGTCATGTTCTCACTTCCCATTTTTTTTCCTCAGGAAAAAAATATTTGCTGGCTTTGGTTTGCATTCAAAGGGAACAGAATAAAAGAGAATGGAGGAAATGGAGGGAAGTTGTGACTGATTCAGGAAATGGCTGTCTAGGAGAAGAGCAGGGCCTGTGGTAAAGCGCTCCTGCACACAAAGCCCTTTACTGAAAGGGCCTGAAGAAGGCCCACATTAAGCTGTGGCTTCCAAAGGGCAGTAGGAGAGAGAAATAATTGACTTCATCACTATTTGATAAGCAGGGGATGCAGACACAGGACTTCTCTTGCAGCCTTAAGACCAGTCATGCCAAGACCAAAGCTCTCAAAAGTCATTAGCTATAGCTAAAGAGCCAAGGCGTGTTCCCCGTTTACTAAAGGTGGGGGCAGACAAAGGCCAAAGGCAAGAGCCTGGTGGAATTATGATCTAGAGAAAGAACAACTGAGCAGAAGCATTAGGACCAGAAGGCAGTGACAGGAGTACGAAAAAGGCAAAGCCTGGTTCTACAAAGAAGACCGACCAGCTAGGATGTTGGGTTTCTGCAAGCACCACATGATGACATGAAAAAGGTCCAGTTAAGTGTCTGTCAAGCAACCCTGTGTGACCATCTGGGAGGGGACAGAAGGGACAAAGTCAACCCAACTCTGGAAAAGTCTGAACTTCCTGCGTGCTCCTCCTAGAAATTCAGAGAATCAGAATTTGAGTGCCACATCCAACAAAAGTACTGGGCTTCTGTAAGCAACTACCCTGAGCTTTGCTTTCTCCTTCTGGACTGACCTGCATCATCATTAACACATCTATGCTTCCAGCTGCACCTACTAAGATGCCTGTCATTTGCCTGGGAGAAAAGAAAGGCTCTGCCCTATTTTTCCATTCCCTATGCTTACAGTGCCAAAAATGCCACTGTGCTCAAGTCTCAGCTCAGCGTTAGAGAAAGGGGGAATTGGCAGTTTTAACTAGCATGGAACGGTAGTGTGTCAAAGCAAAGCCAACCTCCAGTGCTCTGTGAGGAGGATGCTAGTTTCCCAGCATCATAAAAGATGCTGTTTGACTGCTGTAAATCACCTTCCCTTAGAACAGTCCTGCATACAGCCATTTTCATTAAAAAAAAACAACAACCAACCAACCCTCCCTAAAGAAATGCTTTGAAGTCTCTATCAGCTACTTTAGAGGACAAAAGCAGGAACATAACAACTTAACATGGTGGTTCTCTGGTTGCACAATGCTCACTTGAACCTTTAGTCTTGGAATGATTTTGAGAAATACTTTATCCTTTGATCAACAGTTGCCTGGTCCAGCCTTCATCCCCTTCCAGGCCAGATGGGGATCCTACAGTTCCGACAGCTTAGGGATCTCCACTGCTATGCAATATTGGTAAGACACTGCTGCCTTACCTTGGAAGAACAAGCCACTCGGTAACTTTGTTGCTTCAGATGATACTGCCAACCATACAACAGTATCGGCTCCCTGGGCCTCTGTGCGCAGGGTATTCTTCATCTTCTGATAGAAATCTGGCATTGACGATCTCACAGCTAAAAAGAATAACAATGGAATGGCGGTTTGATTAAAGAAAAAAAAAAGCAGCAGCTTAAAATTGCCTTTGTGAGTGTAGGAGGAAGAGAAGGCATCTCAGTGTTCATAAGAGAGAACAAGTATTTCCCCATAGCTAGGAGTACGATGACTTGTGGTGGAATAGTGCTAAACTGCCAGATGATCCACCAGTTGTTTGTTTGGGTCAAATTACAGGTACAGTACTAGTAGGAGCTGAGAACAGGATCAGCAAGAGGTTCCTGGGCCAATTCCATTCTAAACTGCAAAGAAGACAGACATGGGGGAAACAGAAATACCAAAAAACGGGTATTCTAACAGGATTTTTAGCTCTTATTTTCTCACCAGTTTTAGGAAACTAGTTGCAGCACTGTATTTAAAAACTGTATGGTAAACAGTACCTAAACCAACTACATAATTCATGTTTAAACTCTGATGTCTTTTCATTTTGTCCAACAGGTGATGATTGAAGGCCCATGCCCTGCAGCTGTTTATTTTTGCGGGTTGGAGAGTCCTTGAACTTTAAGATGGCATAACTTTATGGTTCATTACGTTTGAAATCCACAAAGGACGTGCAAAAATAAACATATTTTAAAGAAAAAGAAATACTAGGGTATTTAGTTGCAAAAGGGCAGTTTTCAAGCCTAAAGTAGACAGGGTAAATGCTTCTGACATCAGAAGCAAATTTGGGAAACTGCATCCCTAGAAAAGACCTAGAGATCAGATTGCTAGTCTGCATCTCCAGCTTGGGTGCTATGGGCTGGTAACACATTGCGGAATGCAACGTGGATACTGGATAACTGATGCTGGCCCATCTGCTGAGACACAGTCACTGAAGAACAGCTGCAGCTCAGACAAAGTGCTGTCTGGCCAAACACGCTGCTTCTCAACGGCAGTAAATGTTTAAAGGAAGAGCAGAGGAACACGGCTTGCAGAATGGTGCGTGCTCCATTTTCCTATATGCCCTCACAAATTCCCAATGGCTGCATGTTGGTACTTAGAGAGGCAGAAGCTCCATCTGTGTGTTTAATAGTCCCACTACAAGTGTAACTTAAAGGTTAGCTTAAAGCACTGTGGCTCTGCTGTGCATTTGTGCAGGGCTGGAACCATTCATTGCCCATTATTCTTCTCTGGATATACACAGACAGGAGACACTGTGCAGAACAGAGCTACCAAGGGGGTACAAAACTACTTCAAGCACCAGTTTGGAGCCAAGAAATCACTGCACCTGTTGGAGAAATCTACCAGAAAGTTTCATTTCTCTTTGCTTTTAGACTAATCCTGAAAAGAAAAAAAAAATATAGTCAGTGTCAAGCAGATGTTACCTGGAGTGTCTGCCCAGCCGGGGTGCATAACGGAGAAATGGATGTTTCTGTGAGCTTTTGCCCATTGTTCTGTCAAGACAACTTGCTGTCTCTAGGGTAGAGCAAAAAGAGCCAGACTAGCATCAAGTTCAATAGCCTGTCCACCAAGTTAGTTCCCAGAAAGATAAACTACATCAAAGGTGTTGTAAGTACCAGGGCATTTATGTATAGCAGAAATATACCCTTGCTCATCCCGATTGGATTCATTGGATAATTTTGTCAGAGAGCACCACAGTCATCGCAATCCGTATCCCAGCCACAAGGTTCCTTTTCAAGTGGTTACACTGCTTCTACTGACCACAGCTACTTGCTGCAGACTGTAGGTAAGAACTGAGCAGGCAGAAAGGGTCTGTCGGCTACAGACAGTTTCCCCCCTCGAGACTTACAACAAATCAAATGAAAGTCTAGCCGTGCTCTCCAGGCAAGATGGTATGCACTCATAACTGCACACCATCATACTCCTGAAGATTATTGCTTGTGCGTTTCTGTACAGGTTGGATGCAATGGGAAAGCAACAGTGAACAACAGGCTTTTTGCAAAGCAGATGGTATAAGCTGCCTAGCAAACAAGGGCTGGGCTTTGTTTTCAAAACCATGGACTGTACCTTGTTTTGTGCGTACACCATAGTTCCATCAAATGTCCCACTTTCTGACTGCAAGTCAGATATGTTTAATTTTTGAACTAGCATGCCCCCAGAAGAGACAGTTATCTGTAATTGAATGAATGAAAAGCAAATGAATGAAAAGCAAACAAAACAGGAACTCCCCACAATTGCACTCATGCATGTAAAGTGGTCTTCAGACCATATTTGGAAGTCTCAAGGGAGCAGGATTCCTCTGCATACTCTTTGCTTGTGCTCATGTGTGGAGCATACCTGGAGATGAGATGGAAGAAATAGAATTTTTTTTAGAAAGTGATTTTCATTCAATGTGATATTGACTCCTTCAGGGAACTTTGTGCTTCTTCCTTTTGAAAAGTAAATGGGAGAGAGAAAATAGCAGAATAGCACTATTTGTAGTTTATATGTTTAGCATTTACAGAAGCTAATTAGAAAATGAGACTGTACAAAATTTGGGAAATTTCATTAAAAAAAAAAAAGTACCTGCTGTCCTATTTTACACCAAGATCTGTAAGGTTCTTTTAAGCCTATACTCCTGTTACAGGTATTTTGCACTATGCTGCAGGAGATACCTTGCCCCAGGGAAAGTAAAAGGGGAGGTTTCCAAAGGAAGTGTTTTACTCTTGATTTTCAATGAAGGGTTCAGAGTAGCAGGCAGGAGCTTTGCCTTGGAGAAGGTGGTGGTGGTTAGCAAAATCCAAGAGGATTCTAGAGATGCTTACAGCATTGTAACTAAAGCACTGTCAAAGAAATGCTGTCACAAACCAGAACGTAAGAACAGTAAAACACCACTTTTCAACAGCATTGCAGACTCACCACTCTGGCATCAGCTTCTTTTTCCAGGAGGGGCAGCAGGGCAGTTGTCAGAATGTACATACCTAAAAGACAAACAGGCACCAACATTAACTTTTCTTTTTAAAAAAAGCTTTCTTCTCTCCCCACCCTCTATAACAACCAAAACCCCAAAGTGTCTTTATTTCTGAAACTTGATCTGAATTTAAGGATTTTTTTCTTTTTTTTTTTTTTTGCTGCTTCACCTGCAATATGCCAACTCAACTTGTAGTGGTCCATGTTGCTGTATACTTATCAAAAGGCCCATCAGTTATGTTATAGACTTTTATGTTTACTGTACTTATAGAGCAAACTGCTCACTACATTCAGCCACCCAACTCAACTTGTAGTGGTCCATGTTGCTGCATACTTATCAAAAGGCCCATCAGTTATTTTATAGACTTTTATGTTTGCTGTACTTATAGAGCGAACTGCTCACTACATTCAGCCATGACTCTGAAGACAAAAGGGCTCAGGCATGGATTCCCTTGGGGGCAGAGAGGTGATGCCAGTGAAGAAATAGAGGAATAGTTCTCCTCTATACGTGTATCTATGCCAGGTCATGAACAGGAGAAGGAAACTGCTTCACATTTGCGTTTCTTAGGCCCTTGCATATGCACTGAAGACTCATTCGTTTCTGCTTTCTCACTATGAAATCACTCAGAGTATGCTGACACTTTTGATTTGTGTTGCACACAAAACCTCCTCTTAACTCCCCAGCATGGCTATTACAGAAGATAAGGAATCCTTGGGGGGGGTGGTGGGGGGAAATATTAATGTTGCGTGCCCAAGGCTGAGCTAAGATTACTTGGGGAAACTTGACTGTGTCCTTCTGCACTTTAATCGTGTTCATTTAGCATAGATTCGTACACACCACACAAATATATTCCATTACAGCTGTTACCATGACCAGCAAAGTTTGTTATTCAAAACACTGTTCAACTGCTAGTGTATTTGATTCAGACACATCTAGTGATGTATCGCCCGCTCAAGTGCAACATGGGGATTTTTGTTTGTTTTTATCTGCTCAGAGATATTTTACATTTTTTCCCTTTAAACTGTATTTTTAAAATTCTGTTTAATTCAAAATTCATCTAGCCCCACTTAGACTAGTGTTTCTGCATCGAGTATAATATTTCCCTCTCATCTCTTCACAAATGGCTCTGGTTCAACAATGTTCTATGTATCTATGTCAGCGATAAACATACTTTTTTCCATGAGCTACCGAGGCCATGTTTTTCACTAGACATGAAGACTTCGGCATGTGTCTTTATAACCTCTCTTCCACAGAGGCAATGAGATCACCCAGTTAAAATACAGCATGTTTATAAATTTGCGACCAAAATCAAACGTGTTACATGCTTGGTGAACAAACTGTTCAGTTCCTCCATCAGTCACAGCAGTCTTCATTTTCTCTATATAATTAGAGGGACATCCATATGCACACAATATCTTTAAAACCCGGGCAAATCAAACAAAGCGAATGCACAGCAGATGAGTAAATGCAGCCTGTCTTCAGCAGAAAATGCAAGAGAAGGCAGTTGCCAGTGAATAACGAGCGCCTGTACGTCTCCCCTGGTAGTGGTGGGGAGACTGAACGATGATATCATTAGGACAAGAACTACCACTGATTGTCATGGGAGACTGCCACGATGTAAAAGAAAAAAATTTTTTTTCAAAAAAAAAAAAAATCACTTCAGTAAAAGCGGAGAGCCTGGATTAAATTTTGATTTGCTATAGATTCTTCAAATGCAAAGTAACATCATGTCTTGGTTAAATAAGCTGCATTTCTTAAAGGCAGAGCTGCAATGCACCAGCTATGATGACGCTTGATTTTACTGTCCCGCAGATTAATTTACACTTTTAAAGGGCTTCATGCTGATTTGTTAATTCTAAAGGGATGCAAAGATGAATGCATTAACATTGCTTCATTAACAACTGAGTTTTGTTTTGTTTTCCAGCTGGATGAGAAAAACGTTCCAATGCCAAAAATCCTGCTTATAGCAACTACCGCTTGTCAGAACTTTATGCGCTTATTTAAAACCACAAACTAACTGCAAAACCAAGCGTCTCCTCTCTTCCTCAAGTTTATTAAGAATTCAGTAAATCCCACAGCACCAGAGCATTCCATCTTTTTGCCCCCACAAAACCACTTGCTCATTTGCTTTGAGACAGAGCGCAAAAAAGACCAGTTTTGATCCCAGTGTCCTATGGTACACACTAGTATTTCAAAACACACAGAGATGCGACACATCAGGCATTAAGACTGAAGCATTTAATTTCTCCCATTACTAAACATTTCACCAACTATTGTCCTCATTTTAAGTGTTAGAACACAAACTCCTTAGTACTTTAACAAATACACTTGGATATTATACGTTCTTACTTGCACGGGCTGGTCTGTCAGGCAAAACAGCCTGGACAAGAAATTTAGTACAAAAAATAACAGAAGAGGTATACCTTATTAATAAGGTATGTTGTTGGTTGGAATATGTCATCATCAATTGAAGCCTCTAGATCTTTATTCACATAAAAGGTGGTGCATAGTTTGATAAGTTATGTTCAAACAAATAAGAAGAATGCAAAGCACAGCCAGTGTAGAGGCCTGGCAGAGCCAGGTACCTCATGGTGTGTATTTTGCCAAGCACAGCTGTACTGCAGCATGCAGTAATACAGAACTGAATTTCAAAGTAAAAGGGGAAGCCACAAATGAACGCGTTGCCTGCCACAGTCTTATAAAATCACGAATTGCATTAACCATATAAATCCAAAAAATGAATATTTTCTTATTTTTAGCAAAACTTTTTTTTTTTTTTTTAAAAAACAAGGAAAACCAAGGCTGATTTGGTAGAAGAAACTACATTCCCCTCTCCCCCCTCTTAAGAGAATCAACACAACATCCAAATTGTATATCCTTTTGCTAATAATTGGTTATTAATACCAATGTACTGGACATCTGCCTTTCCAAAATGAACACTTCAGCATTCTAGTACATTTCCTTGACACAAAAATCATTTTTGTCTGTTAAAGGAGAAACCTCCTACCACAGAGCTTAGTTAAAAATGGTAAAGCACATCAAACGTGATTAATGCTTAATTATCACTATGTACAAACTGCACAGATTTTTTTGAGGTTTTATTTGTTTGGTTTTTAATTGTTTAAAGAGACCAAGAGAGAACACAAAGGTACATGGAGGGGAAGGCAATGACCAACAGTGATGTGCCTTGCACTGAAAGCATTGAGCACTGGGTATCTTGGTGATCCTGCCCCTTCTCTGACAGGACCTTTGGGATTCTGCCAGAACAAAAGTAGACCTTTTTTTCCCCAGAAAACAAGAACTGCCACTGCTCCTGAGGGATTCTGGAGAACGCATGTCCTTGTCTCAAGCAGATACTCTGTAAATGGAGATGCTCAGCCTTGATGCCACTGTGTTTCCCAGTGCCTGTTCCCCAGCAGTTGTATCCATGACAGAGGAGGAACCGAGAGCCCTCTGGGACACACAGCAACTGGGAGCAGGATGTTTCTATCTGAACAGTTCTCCTGGACTAGGGCCCATTTCTTGCACAGGTCTGAGTGCCTGTGGAAAAGAACCTATTCACACACATCTCAGACCCAGCAGGCAGGGAGCTACGTGTACACCTACAAGGCAGCACTGAACATGCGGCTGTACTACCTGCACCTAAGACTGCATGACAGAGGCCAGACTCTCATACATCACCTTTTCCTGCCAGTGGAAGGTATGTTGTCTGCATGGCCTGAAAGCTTGACCCCCACTGGTGTAACAGTGGGGGGAAAAAAAAAAAATAATTTTGTAGTGAAACAGTATACAACACTTGCCTTTGAAAAGGAGTATTTGCTGTGCCACAAAGGAGTCCAGCAAGATGAATTCGGGAGCTTACTCAGAAGCAGCAGGAA